ATCTATCTATCTATCTATCTATCTATCTATCTATCTATCTATCTATCAAATATTCTTTGTACCATCAGTTTAAAGAGCAGCATGCAACCTGATTTTAAATATAAAATTCCTGATAATACAAGGTTAAGTAGATATAATTACCCAATCACTGTCAAAAGTTGGTCAGGCTGGAGGTGATTGCCACATTACAGCCATAAAAAGGATGGATTATCCGAAATTCCCAATCTTCTTTGAAATTTCAAGCTAACATGGACCACTGAAGGTGCTGTCTGGCAACTGTAGGCCATCAAATAGCATTTTATCCTGATAACATAATATAACTTGGCAAGTTCCATTTCAGTTTTTCTAACACATTGTAAAAACCGAAGGAGGTTCACGTGGTCATGATTTACCATAAACGTCAAGCATTTGCAATGTAATCTGAAAACTCTTATTTATTAGTACTCGTGCCCAGCAATCTGCTTAATGAATTACAGTGACATCAGAATGATAGTATGTGTGTCATGATATCACTGAGCATTGGTGTGATTATGAAAAGGCCTCATAACAAATTTATAAGCTGTATCATGTGTGTATGGTGGAGAGGTGCAGTGGCCTAGAGGTGGAGCTCTCACCTCACAATCAGGAGGCTGTGAGTTCAACCCTAGGTAGAGGCAGATATTTCTCTCTCTCTGGGCATAATCAGAATATATCTGCTGAACAAAACTCCACGCTGGCGACAAGAAGGGCATTCGGCCATTAAAAATTCTGTTAGCTCCATTCAGTTGCCCAGACTCCACCCCGCAAGGGATTATGGGGTCATTAAAAGATTATGATGATGATGTGTGCATGGTCACACCATGATAAGTTGGTTCTCTCCTGCCTTCATGCTGTCCCCTCCACACAGAGACAACTATGTCAGTCCATGAAGTCACTGCAACCACCAACCATCCCATCCAATACTTGGAGCCTATCACTCCAGGCATCAGCTCACTCCTGGAATCCAAATTTAACAGAAAGGAAGAAAGAAAGAAAAACTGAAACAAGATTCAACTTACAAGAACTCTGCCGGTTAAGGTCTGGGCTGAAATCATCACCCCTGCCCAGTCTTTAACAGAGGTCATCCAGCCCACTTCTACTGCCACAACTTCCTCTTTTTCATCTGTGCCTTTCAAATCCCCATCTGCCTGGGTCTCCACACTGCCAGTTATCTTCTGGGCCTCCTAGAAAACAGAAAGTAGAGGATAATTAGAATGGCCAGGGTGAAAAACCACAAGGAAGCAAGTAAGTGCAACAATTAACATTCTGTCTTATCGTGGATTGGCAAATCCTGTTCCTCAGCCAACCACACATAAATCTCATAAGCAATACTCAATTCTTTGATTAATAGTTGTTGGATAACAGTGGACACAGTTCTGAATTCTGCTGTTCTCCTTACATCTCCTCCAGAGAAATCTAATCTTTTAAATTTCTAGAGCAAGGGTCTTCAAACTTGGCAAATGTAAGACTTGTGGACTTCAGCTCCCAGAATTCCTGAGCTAACATGACTGGAGGAGGAATTCTGGGAGTTGAAGTCCACAAGTCTTAAAGCCGTCAAGTTTAAAGACACCTTGTTCTAGAGAGACAATTTCTGAGGATGGGCTCCAGCACAAGTCCAGAAACCTGGAAGACAAAACTTCTGGTTCCGGGGATCTAGTTTCAGATTGAATCCTGCAAGAATTAGAATTATTTCAATTCTATCTCCTGAGCAATGGATACATTTTAAAAGTTGTATGTTCTTATCCAGCTGAGCACAGGATACCATGCACTTCAACTGAGGTTGATCCGATCATATGGCAACCTGAAGTGATGGATTTCAAGGAGAATCGGGAGTGGAGAGAGAGGGATTGAGTGTAGAAGAGATTACGGCTGTGTAAAGGGCAGAAGGGTCATTAAGTTCAATATTGTGTAGCAAATCTCTTAAGGAAACTACTAGAGTCACCCATGGGGCCCTGGTAGCACAGTGGTTACAATGCTGTACTGCAGGCTACTTCTGGCTGCCTGGAATTTGGCAGTTCAAATCCCACCAGGCTCAAGGTTGATTCAGCCTTCCCTCCTTCCAAGATCAGTAAAACGAGGACCCAGATTGTTGGGGGAAATAGGCTGACTCTGTAAACTGCTTAGAGACGGCTGTGAAGCACTGTGAAGCAGTATATAAGTCTACATGCCATTGCTATGTAGATCAAGCAACACAGGAAGATGATTAGAGTGAGAAGAACTTTTGTACATAGACTAAACTTCCTTGAATGGTATTTTTGTATGCAAAGGACTCCCCAAAATGAACATTGCACCATGTGGCATATTTCAAGACTTGCTAGACAGACCATTTAGGGATTTTAAACTCAAAGAAGGCTGGGCCCTGTTCTCTATGAACGACAATAGCCGATGCCTGCAAATTCTGAAACAAAAGTAGCTAGGCATTTATATGGCCTTCTACCTAAGTCTTTCTGCAGAATATGTCCATAGACAAAATTAGCCAAAAAGAAACGTGCCAAAAAAAAAAATGGATATTAGTCATGCGTTGTTATAATTGACGGTTATTAGAATTAGTTTCCCGAGGATGCTCATCTTGGGCAGCGTGTGAAGTCTTAAATGCCAAGCAAAGCTGAAATGCAAAGTTCCAGCAGGACCCCTATTTAAAGAGCTGTTTAATTAATCCAAGGCGCTCCCACCCCTCTCTCTAAGCAGCAGGACTTTTCTTGAGTCACCAGTGGGATTCGGAAACAGCAAGTCAAAGAAAAAACACCGCCTGAATCACTATTGGCCTATAATATTATTCCCATCTTGTGTCTCCAGAAACTGCTACTACAAAACTACGGACTTCTTACATCCAAGATAAATATGCTTCAATTATGAGTGGCTTGAAAGGGGGAAATCTAAGCAAGGGAATTTGGCGTTAGTTTTTGATCTAGATGATGGGTGGATTCATGTAGACAACCGAAGACGACCCAAGAAAGACATGGACTTTATCTAATAACACACAGCTACTCCAGCCTCTCCCTGAGTCCTGTGTGATGTTTTTCCTACAGTCTTGCCATCTTTTATGCCAGGAATTTAAGGAAGTCCAAGAAAATTGAAGCAGAGAAACAATTGCTTCAGATGAATCGGATTTGAAGAAATGGGAAGCCAATCAATACAGGAAGCTTCCTTCCTTCCTTCCTTCCTTCCTTCCTTCCTTCCTTCCATTCATTAATCAGAATAGAGCTGGAAGGGATCTTAGAGGTCTTCTAGTCCAACCCCCTGCTCAAACACGAGACACTATACCATTCCAGACAAGTAGATGTCCAGTCCCTTCTTAAAAGCCTCCAAGTGATGGAGCATCTACAACCGTGATGGTGAAGTTATGGCACGCATGCCGGAAGTGGCCCCACTGCGCATGTGCCAGCTGATTGTCGGGTATCTGCATGTGCAGAGGTGTCCAATGCCGGGAGGGGTCACACATGCATGTGCAGAGGTGTGTGGTATGCATACAAGGGGTTGTGCGTGCATGCTCAGGGGTGGGGGGAGTCACGCACGCATTACATCATGGGTGCAGGCATGCAAGCCCACACGCGAGCACACTTTTGGCACACAATGTGGAAAAGGTTAGCCATCACTGACCTACAATTTCTAAAGGCAAGCTGTTCCACTGGTTAATTGTCCTTACTGTTAGTTGTCCTTACTTCTCTCCTTGATTAGTTTCCATCCATTGTTCCTTGTCTTGCCTTCTGGTGCTTTACAGCCCCTCAAATATTGGAATACTGCTATCATGTCATCCCTTCTTTTCTCTAGACTAGCCATACCACCTACCTTCCCTTCCCTTCCCTTCCCTTCCCCTCCTTTCCTTCCCTATACCAAGACCTCTAAATTCAATTCCATGCAGCACAGCATGTTCCCAAAAATTCTACTAGAATGCAAGTTGCCGCCTTTCTTATTTGAAAACACGCAAACTCTGGCTCTTACTCTCATTCTCCCTTCTGCCACAAAGAAAAGACAAACCAGAAATGCCAAAAGATGCAAGGATTCCTGAGAATTTCTTCAAGCTATGCCAGCAAATTTTTAAAAGTTTCTTAATCAGACTGAATATTGAGAGGGGTTTTACCCTCTTTTTTGATATATATGGAGCTATCTCTTACAGCGGCATTAAAAGACCTGAGAGACCAAGTTAGGAATAGATCACCATGGAGAAAATCCATCCATGCGGTCACTAGCAATTGTCAAAAACTGGATGGCTCATAATCAGTCAATTAAAATCACCCAATAACCTCTTAGATCACCTTGTGGAACCAGGGGCAGGTTGTCCTTGACTTATGACCACATATTTGCCTGAGCAGGGGGTTGGACTAGAAGACCTCCAAGGTCCCTTCCAATTCTTCTGTTCTGTCATGATCAGGTCAATGATGCATCTGGTCAGGTCAAACTAGAGAAAGCCATTTTAGAAATAACGAATTGGTGGAAGAAAGTTTCAAAAAAACAAGAGTAACAGAATAACAGAGTTGGAAGGGACCTTGGAGGCCTTCTAGTCCAACCCCTTCCTCATGCAGGAAAACCTACAGCAACTGATACGAAAAAGCAAAAGGAACTGCATTCCAAATTCCTTGTGTGTCCAATCACACTTGGCCAATAAAGAATTCTATTCTATTCTATTCTATTCTATTCTATTCTTTTCTATTCTATTCTATTCTATTCTATTCTATTCTATTCTATTCTATT